GCTAGAAGAGTGCTTTCCAGGACAGTGGATGTTTGCCTTATGTAAACAAAATGTGTAAGAGAATTCCAGCCAATTTGAAAATGTCATTTGTTTTTGGGAGATGGTCTCGCTCTGTCGCCCAGGCTGGAGTGCAGTGGTACAATCTCGATTCACTAAAACCTCTGCCTCCCAGGTTCATGCAATTCCCTGCCTCAGCCTCCTGAGTAACTGGAATTACAGGCACCTGCCACCATGCCCAGCTAATTTTTGTATTTTTAGTAGAGACGGGGTTTCGCCATCTTGGCCAGGCTGGGCTTGAACTCCTGATCTTGTGATCCACCTGCCTCAGCCTCCCAAAGTGCTGGGATTACAGGTGTGAGCCACTGCGTCTGGCCTTTGTTTTTTGTGTTTTTTAAGATGGAGTCTTGGTCTGTCGTCTAGGCTGGAGTGCAATGGCACAGTCTCGGCTCACTGCAACCTCCACCTCCCGGGTTGAAGTGATTCTCCTGCCTCGGCCTCTCAAGTAGCTGGGAATACAGGTGCTCACCATCACGCCCAGCTAATCTTTTGTATTTTTAGTAGAGACAGGATTTCACTATGCTAGCCAGGGTGGTCTCGATCTCCTCACCTCGTGATCCACCCTCCTCAGCCTCCCAAACTGTTGTCATTACATGCGTGAGCCACAGTGTCCAGATCGGTTTTAAATGTTCAAAGTATAAAAGATGGCAGAAGGGGGCCTGGCATGGTGGCTCACGCTTGTAGTCCCAACACTGGGAGGCTGAGACAGGCGGATCATGAGGTCAAGGGATTGAGACCATTCTGGCCAAAGTAGTAAAACCCCATCTCTACTAAAAATACAAAAATTATTTTTTGGGGGGTGTCATGGTGCATATCTGTAGTGCCAGTTACTTGGGAGGCCGAGGCAGGAGAATCACTTGAACTCAGAAGGCAGAGGTCTCACCACTGCACTCCAGCCTGGCAAGAGGGAGACTTTGTCTCAAAAAAAAAAAAAAAAAAAAAAAAAAATAGCCAGGGGTGTCTGGGCCACAGACCAAGACCCTGACTCAAAAATACGTATTAAAAAAATCATTAAAATAAAAACATAATCCAGCAAAAGAAGCAAGACGGGGCTGGGTGCAGTGGCTCACGCCTGTAATCCCGGCACTTTGGGAGGCTGGGGCAGGTGGATCATAAGGTCAGCAGTAGGAGATGTGCCTGGGCAACATAGTGAAACCCCATCTCAACCAAAAATACAAAAAAAGTTAGCTGGGCGTGGTGGCGGGCACCTGTAGTCCCAAGCTACTTGGGAGGCTGAGGCAGGAGAATTGCTTGAACCCAGGAGGCCGAGATTACTGTGAGCTGAGACCACACCATTGCACTCCAGCCTGGGTGACAAAGCGAGACTGTCTCAAAAATAAAAAAACAAAAATAAAAAAAAGAAGCAAGACAGAAGAGGTAAAGTGACTTGGTCACAAGGGGCAGTGGCAGAACTGGTATCAGGACCCTTACCTCTGCCATCGCTACAATGATCTATATTTTTTAAGAGAAGGGCTCACTCTGTTGCCCAGGCTGACGTGCAAGTGGCACAATTTCTACTCACTGTAACTTCAACCTCTCAAATAGTCTGTGTCTTTGTCATAAATGGAAAGTTAGAGTATCACTCGCTAGGGAGACAGATGTGATCTCAGCACACTACAGCCTTGAATTCCTGGCCTCCAGCAATACCCCTGCAGGCACCACCACTCCTTTTTGTTGTTGTTGTTGGAGACAAAGTTTCACTACTGTTGCCCAAGCTGGAGTGCAAGACAGGATCTCGGCTCACTGCAACCTCCGCCTCCCGGGTTCAAGCGATTCTCCTGCCTTAGCCTCCGAAGTAGCTGGGATTACAAGCGCGTGCCACCATGCCTGGCTAATTTTTTTTTTTTTTTTTTGAGACGGAGTTTCGCTCTTGTTACCCAGGCTGGAGTGCAATGGCGCGATCTCGGCTCACCGCAACCTCCGCCTCCTGGGTTCAGGCAATTCTCCTGCCTCAGCCTCCTGAGTAGCTGGGATTACAGGCACGTGCCACCATGCCCAGCTAATTTTTTGTATTTTTAGTAGAGACAGGGTTTCACCATGTTGACCAGGATGGTCTCGATCTCTTGACCTCGTGATCCACCCGCCTCGGCCTCCCAAAGTGCTGAGATTACAGGCATAAGCCATCTTCCCCGGCCTAATTTTTATATTATTAATAGAGACGGTTTCACCATGTTGGCCAGGCTGGTCTCAAACTCCTGACCTCAAGTGATCCACCCACCTCGCTGGGATTACAGTGAGTGCTGTAATTACACCTCGGCCTCCCAAAGTGCTGGAATTACAGGTGTGAACCACCACACCCAGCCAAGCACCACCACTCTTTAGGGCAGAGTCTGGCATTTTGCTGCATTTGCTCAAGCAAGCTCTGTGGGTCCTGTTTCCTGTCTCATTGTTGAGTATGTTTTCATATTCACCAATCTTTTCATCGCCAATCCCCATTTCTACATTTAATCACACACATCTCAGAGTGCTAGGGCTTTATTACAAATGGAGTTGACTGCTGCAGAGGCCCTTCTCCAATCTTTCTTCTCAACTTTCTTCCCTCCCAAAGACATCCCTCTAGGGAAGGTCAGTAGGCCATTAGGGAGGAGGAAATCTGGAGAGTGAAAAGGAGCACTGCTTTTATCAAAGTGCTCTGAAACATCCACTGAGTCTGAAGGCTGGTTCCAGCTGAGACTCTTCTAGTGGAAGAGGTTTAGCTCTTATCTTCAAGGTCCTTCATTTCTACGTCCTGAGGGGCTTTCGTCTTCTTTTGCCTTTTGAGCTGTGGTTCACTAGTCCTGGCTGGCTTTGTAGGGGCTTCCACTAAGTAACGGGAAGAAGGAAGTATTAATCCAAATAAATCCAGGCTTTCCCTCACCCACCTCTATCCGAGACTCACCTTCCATGGCTGCCTTGTCTTTCTGGGCAAGCCGGATCTGCTGCAGGAGTTTTCTGCGCTTCTTCCCGGAGAGAGTAATATTGGCACGTGCACTGGACCTGATGGATAGGTGAAAGTAAAGATATCTAGGACCCGAACCAACTGAGGTCACACAAATGTTTCTGGCTCTAGAAAAAGTATTAAATAAATATAATATAAATGATAAAGTATTAAATATAGAAAAAGTATTAAACAAAGTACTTAACATTAATTGTTAAAGTTTTGTATGTAGTAGAAACCCTAAATATTTACACTGAAGAAGCCAATGAAGGGACATAGACCCGGCGCGGCGGCTCACGCCTGTAATCCCAACACTTTGGGAGGCTGAGGTGGGAGGATGACCTGGGGTCAGGAGTTCAAGATCAGCCTTGCCAACATGGTGAAACCCAAGGAGGTGAGCTGAGAGGTGAAGCTGCTTCGGAGCTCTGCAGGGCAGAGAGAAGACTCGGTGGGGACTACCAACAGGACGAGGGTCTGGTACTCACGCCCGCTTCTTGAGGTGGTGCCTCGTGATCAGCCCTTGGTCTATCACAGCCCCGATCACCCGGTGTCTCAGACGCCGCTCCCGATTTAACACCCGCCGGCGTTTGAACAGCTTCTTCTTCAGCTCCTACCCGGGAGAAATATGCGAATCAGATGGAGGCAGCGCGCTGCGACCCCGGGCTGCTCCACCCAGCAACCAGTGCCCCCCTGTTGATCCCATCTCGGGCGAGACAAAAGGGCTCGGGGACGCTTGAGGAAACAAAGCCACGGCCCCCACACAGTCACCGTTCGGGGACGGTTGATCTTTCCCCCCGGAGCTCCCATAGTCGCGCTGCTACGGCAGCTCACGGTCCGTACTTCCGCTCCGCACCGGATCCGCGGGTTCCGCGGGCCAATCGCACCTCGGGGGCGGGTCCTTGGGCTATATAAAGGAGCTCCGTGGACTGGGAGGCCTTTTGGAGGGCGGAGAGGTGGTAAGTGTGGGTTTTGCTGTAGTGTCCGAATTGAGCGTCCGGGTGGAGTAGAGGTGCCGGGCGGAGGGCTCTGGACTGGGCCTCAGGACCCTCCTTTTCTTGGCGGGGACCGGGTTTGTGGTCTCGCTCCCCGTAATGTACGGAGGAAGAGGGAAAGGGCTCTGGTCCCCTCGGCGTCATGTCTTCGGTGCCGGTGGCTTCCCATCCGCTGGTTCTATCCTCAAGCGCCGAGACACCCGGCATCTCGGAGCAGGGCAACCGAGATCCAGCTGTTTCCTTCACGGGGGTGCTCACACTTTCTCATTTGATTTCAGGTCTGCGGACGCTGTATCCCCTTTTCCACATCCCGCTGCAGCCAATAAAGGCCGTTCCTACCATAGTCGGTCTGTGTCCGCGTTCCTTTTTCCGAGACTGCAGAGTTCGGGGAAGCTGTACGAGTTCTTCTGCTACGCGGAATTTGCAGATCTTTCCCTGGATCTCAGGCCTCCGGCTAGAGTAGGGTGGACACTTCACACAGGTCCTCTGGTCGACCTTACCCGGACTTACAGATGGCCGCGCTGCGTCGAATGCTCCACCTGCCGAGTCTGGTGGCAGGGGTGTGCCTCCCTTTTGCGGGTAGGGAGGTGGGGGCAGAGTGGGGAGGGCAATGTGGGTTCATCGTGACCCGAGAGCCTAGTCCCTGAAATTGTGGCTCTCAGACCCCATCGTGGGCCGGGTGCGGTGGCTCATGCTTGTAATCCTAACGTTTTTAGAGGCCCAGGCGGGCAGATCGCTTGAGTCCAGGAGTAAAAGATCAGCCTAGGGCCACATGGTGAAACACTGTCTACAAATAAATACAAAAATTAACAGGGCATGGTGGCGCCTGTAGTCCTAGCTTACTCAGGAGGCCCCGGGTGGGAGGATCACCCGAGCCTGGGAAGTCGAGGCTGCAGTTAGCCATGATTGAGTCACTTCACTCCAGCCTGGGTCACAGTAAGAATTGCCCCTCCCTCCCCCAAAAAAAGACCTCAGTGTCCCAGTGTGTATATGCATCGTTTTTGCAGTGGCGAGATAGATGGAGTGACATGTACCCTCCAACCGTGTCCACAGGCTCACTGGCTGGTAGCTCCCTGGCGGACCGCTGTCTCTGGGATCGGCTCCACTCCCAGTCCTGTTTGGGCAGTGTCCCCACCTTCGACTGGTTCTTTGGATACGAAGAAGTCCAGGGGCTCCTACTGCCATTGCTGCAGGAGGCACGTGCTGCCTGTCCTCTGCGGGTCCTGGATGTGGGCTGTGGGACCTCCAGCCTATGTACTGGCCTCTACACCAAATCCCCACACCCAGTGGATGTGCTTGGGGTGGACTTTTCTTTTGTGGCTGTGGCCCACATGAACAGCCTCCTGGAGGGTGGCCAAGGCCAAATGCCTCTACGCCCTGGGCACCCTGCTTCCTGCCTCCGCTTCATGCAGGCTGATGCCCAGAACCTGGAGGCTGTGGCTTCTTCAGGTTCTTTCCAACTACTGCTGGACAAGGGCACCTGGGATGCTGTTGCCCGAGGGGGTCTGCCTAGGGCTTACCAGCTGCTGTCAGAATGCTTGAGGGTTCTAAGCCCTCAGGGGACCCTGATTCAGTTCTCAGATGAGGACCCTGATGTGCGACTGCCCTGCCTGGAACAAGGGTCCTGTGGCTGGACTGTGACTGTGCAGGAGCTAGGCCCATTCAGGGGCATCACCTACTTTGCTTACTTGATTCAAGGCTCATTAAAGACATGTTAGTAGTCCTGACCCTAATATTTCTGTGGGCAAGGAGAGGGCTGAAGAGTGAGCTATGTCTTTCCAAGGTATCTGGCTGGCTGCAAAGTGAGAATTTGAGTCCTGGCTTCCACGTTTACTAGCTGGGTGCACTACTACTGAATGTTTCTGTGCCCCAGTTTACTCATCTGCAGAGTGGGAATAACCTAGAGTTGAAATATTTAGCACGAGGTGAGTGCTGAAAAGAGAAGTTTCAAGTGGGTCATTCCCCACTTCCTAAACTGGAGCTCCTAAAAGCAGCGAACAGAAACTGAATCCAACCCTCTGCCCCACCGACTGGCTTGTAAATTTTTCTCACCTGTAAAAGGAGATTGTGAGAGGATGGGTATAAGGAGCTTCATAAACCTGGATGAGATGTTTGAAGGGGAGGGAGCAATACTTACCCTCAAAGCTACTGGGAGGCAGGAGATGGGAATATTCCACAAAGCTGCTTCTGCAAACACCGGACCCTGTTCCTGAGTCCCAGAAAGGACAGTGGTTGGTGGCTCCCTGACACTCTGTGTCCTCAGGAATCCAACAAGCATCTTCCTCATCCTGGTCCTGCCCCCAGCTGAGTCCAGCGTTAAATGTTCTTAAAGGAGATCTAGCATCCTGTGGGCTCCAAGCCCAGCCTGGAATGGAGAAGAGAGGGGAGCTACAGTGAAAAATATTACTGATATGAAATTACAAAACGAGGCCAGGCATGGTGGCTCATGACTGTAATCACAGCACTTTGGGAAGCCAGCCTTGGCAGATTGCTTGAGTCCAGGAGTTTCAGCCCTGGCAATAAAGTGACAGCCCTAACTCTACAAAACAGCCAGGCATAGTGGCACAGTAGTCCCAACTATTCAGGAGGCTAAATTGGGATGACAGCCTGAGCACTGGGAGATTGAAGCTGCAGTGGGGCGTGATATGCTGCTGTACTCCAGCCAAAAATTACTTTCTGTGGCAGTTTTTGCTCATGAAAAAATACAGCAATTATATGACTTAACAGCCTAACTTGGCAGCCTCAATTTTCTCATTTATAAAGGGGAAATACCTTCATTGGGTTGTTCTGAAAATCAGAAGAAGTCAGTGTTTAGCATAGTACCTAGCACAAAGTAAATGCTCAAAGAAATGTAGCTTTTTTTTTTTTTTTTTTTTTTTTGAGACGGAGTTTCGCTCTTGTCATCCAGGCTAGAGTGCAATGGTACAGTCTTGGCTCACCACTACCTCCGCCTCCTGGGTTCAAGCAATTCTGCCTCAACCTCCTGAGTAGCTGGGACTACAGGCATGCGCCATCATGCCCAGGTAATTTTTGTATTTTTAGTAGATACAGGGTTTCACCTTGTTGACCAGGTTGGTCTTGATCTCGTGACCTCATGATCCACCCGCCTCAGCCTTCCAAAGTGCTGGGATTTATAATCCACCCTGCCCAGCCAAAATGTAGCCTCTATAACAGTACACAGACATGAAAAAAAGTCTAGACGAGAAGGCATCGAAAATGTAAACTATTTTTAGGTAGTTGGACTTAAGGTAACTATCTTTTTCTGCAGGTCTCTAAAGTTCACCAACTTTGCCAACTGCCTTGACTTTTCTCTCCCAGATCTTCACATTTATTGAGCACCTGCTATGTTCCTGGCACTGCTGAATGCAGAGGTCATAACTGACATCCGTCTTGGCTCTGCCCAGAACATTCAGAATGCAGTGGCCTCCTGAATGAACTACCTCACTCACCTGCCTCTTCAATTTGGTCTTGGAAAAAGGCCTCCGCCTCCTCTTCCTCACCATCAGTGAGCAGCAGCAGCTCCTCATGGGGCCAGTGGAGATCCCCACTCTCTTCATTCACCTCAGAGGCTCCCACCACAATAGATGGCAGATGGGACTTTTGAGAGAAAACCTGAATAGGGACAGCAGGGAGGTTGGCCCAAATTGGAGGGTAAGCCAGCTGTCAGACACAAGGTGGGGAAGTACTAACCTGAATATCCTGGTGACCTTCAGCCTTGCCAATCTCTCCTCTGTCCCCGAGACGGTTGGGCAGCCTGGGACTTTCTGGATGCTGAGAGGAGCCTAGGCTATTTCTATTCCAAAGCCCATCCTCCTCGCTGCTCCCTGGCACAAGGGCCATGGTGGTGATTCTTAGGAGTGCAAGATGATTGAACTCAGAGGAGAATACTCCTTGCCCAGTGCACCCCACAAACTGTTCCTCTAATCTTCTTTGGAGCCTGGCTCCTTAGTCACTGACGTGCTAGGCGATTATGGGCTTCCTGGGGAGGGGAAAATGCCTAAGAAGTGAGATAGGATCTTTATTTCTACTTACTCCATGGAGACACTGGGATGGCAGCAAGGGTAGGAGACAAGGGCACCTGGATTAAAGCCCTATGAGCCGAGAGTTTTGATAACAACTTGGAATTTCCTGACTCCTTTGCTTACTGATTTTCCCAAGCTGGCATGTTTATATGTTATTTAATGAATATTTTCATGGTGTTTACACTTTGTCAGGAGCTGTTTTGTTTGCTTTACATGTAACTCATTTAATTATCCTAAAACTATGAGACAGGTACTGTTAATAAGCTTCATTTCTGATGCAGAAACCGGGGCACAAGAAATTCCTTAGGATCACAGCTAAGAAGTGTTTTCTTTTTCTTTTTTTTCTTTTTTTTTTTTTTTTTTT